TACATATGCCTTAAAGGAGCTAGCGATACTTCCACTTAACTACAACGAAAAACCACTCGTACGCTTGTTCAAACCTTCCTTTCCATGGCGAAGACTAACGGAGAAATATAAGCCAGATAATCTCTTGTTAGAACTCTACTATCATGGCGTAACATGGAACTCTGGTGATTATAAATACGAAGAGCATAAATTAATCATCACAGATACACTCAAAAGTGCCACAAAAATTTTCGTTTCCGGAAATTTGAAAAAAGAGTGGTTAGAACGATATAGCCTCAAAGTTTTTAACTTGAATGAATGGGGCTATTTACCTTTCTAAAAATTAAAATCAGTTACCGTGTATCCTAATCATAACGGCAAATACGTAACGACATGTGTAGATCAAAACGTTAAATTAATGAAAAAGTTATACATCTATGGCTGTTGGACGGATTGGAAAGGGAACGATGAAGTCATTAAAGTATTTCTATAGTGATTTTGTTTTTTTAAGTAAATAATTTGTAGAATAACATGTTTTTTTTAAGAACATGTAGAATAAAATATATTTTTTATCAATAAAAAATTCTTTTCAATTGATACAAAAAAAAATATTCTTTTATTTTTTTTATTAAACCATCCAAGAAAAAGCGAAATTCTTTCCTGACTCTGACAATGACAGAAGCAGCCGCTGCAGTTAATCTTTTTTGTAATAAATTTTGTATTTTTAGACACACACATACACACATACATACACACATTATAATAAAATTATTATTAACTAATTATATTAGTATCAGCAAAATAAATTAATTATATATATATATATACACGATAAGAACTATCCGAGGTACAAGTGGCAGTGACTCCAGCGGTAGAGCATCGGCCTGCGGATCCAGAGAATAAGTAAAAAGTTAAAATATAGTAATGTATACTCGAAATAATACAAATGATAGTTGTCAGTAACATATTTATAGTAATTGAGATTACTATAAGTAGAGTACTTGTACGAATATCAACAATAAATATTGAAACTTTTGGAATTTCACCACATAAGGTCAAGCTGCAAGGATAATAATCTTCAGTGGCTTGCGACAGAAATTAAGTGGATTTCGAAAACAGTAAGAAAATTCCATTATCAAGCAACTAACATAGTTTGCTACTTTAATGTACTGATTAAAATTCTGCTAAGTATTGTCGCATCACTCTAGGAAAAGCCAAACAGTGCTGCAATAAAAACTTAGTCAAACTTCTAGGCTGTTATAATATAATTCTTAGAGGAGATAGTCAAAGAGTCTAAAAGTCTAGTCTTTTAGACTATCACATGAGAGAGGAAAGTACCACGGCTAACTACTGAATAATCAAACGGGTATCAGGAAATGGCTGGGACTTTATCTCATATGTACAGTGCTCGCGCTGCTAAGTAAGGTTGGATTGGAAAACCACTTACCGTAACGACGAGAAATTATACTTGCGAGAAGGATTTCTTTTTACATTAGATTGCCCCTACAACGCTGTTTTCGTAAATTTGGACAAACTTCAAACAAGCTTCATTGCAAAATCGCGCACGCGAAGTGAAAAGCTTGTGATTTAAAAAATGGAGTTGTCTTATGGATTTGTTTGTCATAAGTTTGTCTCATGGAAAAACTATGGTAGAACAACGTTTCTGCCACTGATATTTTTATTTTAGAGAGAAAATATAAGGAGGTATTCTTATTTACCGTCTTTGTACTTTATGTGGTTCACTTTAAGTATATGAAAATGCAACGATTTCAATCCGTCGGGCTTTGAGGTTGTCGTTTCAAAATATTGTTAAAGGTTTAATAAAGAATATAAAAGTATTATTCTGTAACGTTTTATCCTTTGCTTTCTTTACTTTGTATGATGTTGTTATTAAACTTGTTGTATTTTTGGCGTGTCTAACAGTCGTGGGTACTGATTTCACAGCCTCGTATGTTTTACGTATAGCTGTTCCGGAGATAATCATATAATACTAATGTGACGTCGTGGCAACGACACATCTCAGGTGCACCTAAGGCTTGGCGCAGTCTCAGGGTTCTGTTTTTGCTAGTCTGCGATTTCTCGCATAAACTAACGGGATCGCTATTCGAAAATTAATAATACCGAAGGGGACAGTGCCACTAAACCTGCACTTCTGCTCTAGGATTCCAATCAATAGTTGTAATCCGAGAGCGGGAAGTACTCTGGGTCCTATCAATAGTAGAACTCGGTTTTTCTATCAAAATCGTACCTAGAGCCTATCAAAAGTAGTCTCCAGATACAAAAAAAAGGGAAGTATTTTACGTCACGAGCTACTTCTAAGAAAGTGGAGAGATAGATAAATTACCAATAAAATTTTTTTGTTTGCTTACTATTTTATTTTATTGAATAATTCACTCTTTTCGACCTGCGCGTCTTTATTTTATTAACTGATTTTTCTTGTTTATCTTGTTCCGCTGCTTGGTTGCTTGGCTGCTTGGCTCTTTGACTGACTTCTTGACTGAGTTTTATTGAGTTCTTCGCTGACTTCTTTGCTAACTTCTTGGCTGACTTCTTAACACTACTGATTTCTGTGCTTCCTTCAGCACTCATTTACTGGTACTCAATATCTGCTTTGCACACAAACTACCACAACTGACAACAATTGCAACTGACTTTTGGGTCTTGTGCAGCCCTTTTTATATTAGGTGGGTGGCTGGGTGCCGAGTCCCTCTCTCAGACTCTCGGTTTCGGGAGGAGTGGAGCAGACAATGATGTGTTAATTGGTCCGTTTGTTTCTTCTGACTTTCCTCGCTGGATTTTCGGGCCCTGATTGGAGTGGGGGCATAGTGAAAATCGGGGGCGCGGACGCAAGGTTACAGGCCTTAGCTCGTAAGATGGCTCTTCAAGTATCATTCGCAGCTAAGATTAGCTTAAAATTTTGTAATTATTAATTAATTGAAGTCGGAACAAGCATAATCGACCAATACATAACTTATACACTACTTATATTAACAATCAATATTATAATTAAATTTGCCGCAAAATACAGTTATCAATAATTATCTAATAATAAAATATAATAAAAATAGAGCGATGCTTGTTATCTCGCACGCTACGTTGTATAAATTCGTAGATTAATTTCTTATTAATAGTTCGCTAAATAACAGTGAATTCATTAAAATTAACGTATATTTTTTATTTTTTCTATTTTCTGCTTAATCTAAGCTCCAGAGCGAAAACTCGATAAGAGGTTTTGAGAGGCCAAATTATTTTTGATATACTGTTGAAGTCAAAATATTCAAGTTCAAAAAATATTATTTCATAATTTCCAATGCCTAACTTCTAGTTGGAAAGGGAAAAATTCGATAGTTATGATGTGAATAGAATGCAGACGCGATCCCATGGCCCTCTTCTCTCATCGGCATCTCAGCGCTCACGTGTCCGGAGGCTGCATGCACTTCATATGCAAGTGCGAGGGTACGAAGGGCAGAAGAGCGTAATAAAAAAAAGGAATGCACGCTTACATAAATTTAAACTATAGATTCTATTGCCATTTGGAGACTATCAAGAAAATTTCTCTGCGACACTCGACTCGGTTCCCAAAGCTCATGGGAAACGGTTTCAATTCTGCCGTTGGTCTTAATATTAGGAAAAATTATTCTTTTGAAATTTTTGAAATTTTGATCATATATGGCCCGCCGTCACACTAATAACAAAACAAATATAGCTAAAACAAAGAATTTGCCCTCAAAACAGGTGGAAACAAAGATTTTTCATCAAGAAAGAAAAAGTAATAAATTAGATTAGAACATTCAAAAAACTAACATTGGTGATTTCTTATATGAAACTTTGCTTTTAGTTGATATTAAGCTTCACAGAAACTTGAGATTATTCAATAACTGCTGTGATATGTTTAAATAAACTACTATTTTATTGTTAATGATTTCACTTAGAAAATTGTAGGAGAATTTCATTCAATACAGCTTCATAGTATCATGTCTGAAAATTAGTTAAATGACAAATGTAATTAAATTTAATACAATGTAATGGAGAATTAAGGCTCTGCCGATGTTCTCCGGTGAAACATCCGCAGGCCCTACCAGGCTATGGGTGTGTGAGTCTGTGCATACTCTCATACTTGTTCTTCTCTGTTTGAAAAGCGATATAATGCAATTTGTGGAGCGGAACGGAGCAATGAAGTGATGACAGAACAACGAAACGAAGAGGAGTAACGGAGATCCAAGAGCAAAGGGGAAAAAAATAAACAAAAAGATGCGAATTATGCGCGCAGCCGATCCGGATGGGATTAGTATTTTGGTTGAGTCACATTAGCCAGCGTCTATCCCTGACACATATTCGTGTGGGAAATTGGTGATTTGCGCATCAACGGCGCGCATAGGATCATTGTTTGGAAGCAGCAAGAAAGTACCAGTACGTTTTGGAGCTGAGTGAGCAGCAGGAACAATTTATGGAGGCAAACGAAAAGTAAGCAGCAGGGAGCAACGAGAGACGACGAACAGCGTCACCAGTAGCATTAGCTCTCAGTTAGATTAGTGCCACATTCTCTCTTTCTCTCTTTCTCTCTTTCTCTTTCTCTCTCTCTATCTCTCTTACATTTTTGGATGTTATTCCATTACGCGTACGGCTAGGTAATACGGCCAGTCCCGCTGGATTTGATCATTGTTCGGCGCAAGATATTGGATGATCGTTGAAGAATTTTTTACTCTAGTAATCAAATAAATTATTAATATTTATATGTATACATAATAATTATCTTTGTACATTGAGTGAAACTTATTCCAGCCACACTTTTCAAAAAAGATAATGACATACAAATAGACTATGGAGAAATAGCGGCTGATATTTAAAAGTATGTATTTGTGTATAGCTGAAAAACTCATTTACATATAATGTCTAATTCTCCACGGACTACTTAGATGTTATTTTACCAATTTTGAAAGGTGTATGAGATAAGTCTTTTATGATACATCTTTTTACATACAGAATTCGAAAAATAAAATAAACTTTATTTTATTACTCACCTTAAAAAAATACGTTTTTCCATTTTTGTACGTAAATGCAGCATCAATATTACCTGGTAATTCTTTCCAGGATTCACTTATAAGCCTCGGGTAACCACTTACTATGCCTTCATTCGTTAATCTCCAATAATATTGACCTTAAAAATATAGTTGATTTTATAGCAAAACATTATTGACAAATATAAAAGTATAATAGCAATATATTATCCACTTATATCGATACACTAATCCGTTTGAGCACTTTTCATTCGTAATATTCGTCGACGTTTCGGGGATATCAAAGAAATACTTTTTAATTTCATAAATAGACACGAATTTATTGCAACGTCAGTGAGTTACAAAGAAGGCTCACCACATGTATAATAAGCTGTATTCGATCTATGGAAGTAATATAAGAAATAACAATATTTGCGATTCCTTCAGAGATTTGTTAACACCTTCAAGACAAATAATAGCTTGAAAGTACTATAGTTAGAACAAATGCATCAAGTCGAATACATACATCGAGTATATCTGCAACTTACATAAAACTATGGCAAGTGAGAACAACAATCAAAGAAATTGCTATTTTCGTCTGTTCTACAATGTGCATATGACGATTACAAAAATGACATGATCTTATCAATTAAAATTATGGTAGAATAGGAGTTGAGATTATTTTTTATATAAATGATAGTAACAATTAGTCGATAAGCAATGTATGTTTCAAGCCATTTGGTGGGAGGATCAGGTGGCTTGAAATATACATAAGAGTTTGCGCATGCGCGTGCGCGCTCTACGCACGCGTCGTGGGTGGTTAAAGAGTGGGTGGTGCCTCTCGACAACCTCCAGCGTCCTTCCCTGACCTAGTCGCGACCTCCCGGAGGCTCCACCCCCCTATTAGTAGCGTTGATGCTTCACTTTCTCTTTCTCTTCTTCAATAAGCTATAGCTATGTATAGTAGAGGGAGTATGCACATACCGTATACTATGAATGTTCTCTTACTTAAGAAATATTAAATAATAGCTGATAAAGGGGATATTGTAGCTATAATAAAAAAAAAAGCCATTTTTTAAATTTAACTTTGATTTATTAATATAATTTAACACAAAAATAGCAATTGACCTTACATTATAAATTTTGTTTTGAAATGATTTTTTCATTAGTAATACGAGGTCTGTCCGGAAAGTATCGGGCCTACCTTTATATTTTCGTGCTAGCGTTATTCTTTATCAACTGGTGGATGGCATCCTTCAAAGTAATTCTCACTTGATTGAATAACACGGTTCCATCGATGTTTCCACTTTTCAAAACAGTCCTGGAACTCACTTTTAGGGATAGCCTTAAGTACACTCGTCGCATTGTTTTCAACCGTTGTTTTGTCATCGAATCGGTGTCCTTTGAGTGGTTTTTTTAGTTTTGGAAACAATCAAAAGTCACAAGAGGCTATGTCGGGACAATATGGAGGTTTTCGAAGCAATGCGATATTGTGTTTGCTCAAAAACTGCTGCACAAGATTGGATGAATGCGCTGGCGCATTATCGTGATGGAAAAGCCAGTCACCACTTTTCCAAAAGTGCGGCCGTTTTCTTCTTACTGCATCACGCAAACGTTTCAAAATTTGAACGTAGTATTCTTTATTGATTGTCTGACCTGTTGGTGCATATTCGTGATGTACAACACCTTCTCAATCGAAAAAAACCATCAACATTGACTTAACATTGCTCCGACTTTGACGTGCTTTTTTCGGTCTTGGCGATTCAGAATGCTTCCACTGTGAAGATTGTTGTTTTGTTTCCGGATCATAATCATAAACCCATGATTCATCACCTGTAATAACTTTTCTAAGCACATTATCATCATTATTGACCATTTCCACATTGTCCAGAGCGATTTCTAAGCGAATGTTCTTCTGCTCTGCTGTGAGCAATTTTGGGATGAATTTCGCACACGCGCGTTTCATTCTTAAATTTTCGGTTAAAATTTCTGCAATGATAGTTTTTGGTATCACAAGGTCTTCTTCTAGTTCTCGCACGACGTTATACGATGATCTAGTCATACGACGATCTTGGTCAATTGCAAGTCGCACTCGCTCAATATTATCTGCGGTTTTTGTCGTCGAAGGTCGGCCGGACCAAGAATCGCTATCGACAGAAGTGCGACCATCCTTGAACCGATTATACCACTCTTTTATTCGTGTTTTGCTCATACACTCGCTTCCGAAGGTCTTTTGCATCATTCCAATAGTTTCCAAACTCGTTTTTCCGAGTTGAAAGCAAAATTTGATGAAAATTCGTTGATCTTGTTTTTCAGTCATTTTTGATAATATCAAAATCCGACGAACGCGAAAAAAGCACTGTAAACAAAGACACGCTGCGCATGAACTATATGTCCGGCAGGTGTCAGTAAATAACCAATAGATTCGTGAGGCTTTACTGTTGACGTTTCTGTCCGGTAGAGGTCGCTCGAACACTATGGCGCGAAGATATAAACGTAGGCCCGATACTTTCCAGACAGACCTCGTATATTGAATCAATTTTCTCATATCACCACTGGTTGGATTGTACTCTACGATTCGATTATGTAGAATTAAATAGTAGGTAGCATTATTATCAGGAAAATTATATCTTGTGTCAAATTGAAGGCGTATATCTACAGGTGTAGTTTTAATAGATTCAGTTAGTTTTGAACAATAAATAACTATTAGAGGAATGTTATTGATAAAATTATTCTTGTTTAGCAATGGTTCATTTTCTTTACAATAGTAAGCGTTTTAAAAATTAGCATACATGTCAAAAAGTACTGCATACTGATTTTTTCAATATACAGATTAAGATTTCCATATGGGTAGTACTGAGAATTGAGAAATAGTTTTACATTACTGATATCACAGTGATCAAATGTATTAGCATCAGCAGTCTCTGAACTTTTTCATTTAAATTGAAAGGCTAAGATGACAAAGAGAGGCTTTTCCAACTGATTTAACATTTTCACATTCCAAACGTGCTTTGATGTGAGAGGTAATTTTAGGTACCCGTAGAGTTCCCATATGTAATAACTCATAGTTATTGCTTTATTGCATCCAATATGATTGAGTAGCTTGATTTCTTCTTTATCAGCCACTATTACATAAGGCATCAGCCATTCTACTGTAGTCAAATTAATTTTAAATCATTCAAGAGTAGGTATAGCGCATGTTGTTGGGGTAACTTTAACAGCATTCATATCATTTCCTGATCTTGTAAGAATAAGCTCATGCTTGACGTTTACCTATTAAACATATATATTAAACATATATATTTACCTATTAAACATATATAACATACCTATTAAACAATAATGATGATAATGTGCTTAGAAAAGTTATTACAAGTGATGAATCATGGGTTTATGGTTATGATCCTGAAACAAAACAACAATCTTCACAGTGGAAGCATTCTGAATCGCCAAGACCAAAAAAAGCACGTCAAAGTCGGAGCAATGTTAACTCAATGTTGATTGTTTTTTTCGATTGTGAAGGTGTTGTACATCACGAATATGCACCAACAGGTCAGACAATCAATAAAGAATACTACGTTCAAATTTTGAAACGTTTGCGTGATGCAGTAAGAAGAAAACGGCCGCACTTTTAGGAAAGTGGTGACTGGCTTCTCCATCACGATAATGCGCCAGCGCATTCATCCAATCTTGTGCAGCAGTTATTGAGCAAACACAATATCGCATTGCTTCGAAAACCTCCATACAGTCCCGACATAGCCTATTGTGACTTTTGGCTGTTTCCAAAACTGAAAAAACCACTCATATGGCTTTAACCATTCGATTCTTGTGAGTTCTATTATAAGAGGCTCATATGTATCAACATTATCAATTTTCACAGTATCTTGCATGACTGCGTTTAAATTATCTCTTGATCGAGTAAGAATCAGTTCATGCTTTACATTCACAACAATTTTGTGATAGTCTTCAGCAAATCCTAATATCATTGAAAAAGGTATTGATACATCAAAGTTACCATTGTTGTCAGTTATCTTTTTAGTTTCTTTAATATCAAGCTAGACAGCATTCTCCAGAAATCGACTTTGATTTTGATTCAATGAAACCAAACCTTTCATCGTACTTGTTAGTCCAACATTTCTATATTTGTCTATCTCAATGGCATTAATTTCATATCGGATATCTTTGAATAGGTGACATATAGCATTATTGACGAACTTTGTTTCAGTAACAATAGTACCATCTTGTCTTCTTACTTTTCCAACGATGTGTAGAGAACTTTTTGATGTTAAAAAACATAAATCTTGATGTTGTATCAATATGCGAATTTCATCGCTATTATTGTATGTTTGTGAATTATAAGGTTGATGTGCGTGAACTTCATAGTGAGTTATGGATTCATCAAAAATGACAGGTGCTTGCAAACTAAGTATTTCTTCCATATTTGAGATGACAACAACAGACAAATATACAAGTTAGTTTTTCAAATTTTTCAAGTTTCTTTTTCTTTTTATTGCGGCGCTTCCGACGACGTTCAGACCGAGATTTTTCAGGAACTAAATGTTGCGACATGTTAGACTTTTGGCGATCCGTCAATGACTGACTTTCTGATCGCACGATGGAGTTATTATATAACCGTTGCCTACTTTATAATTATAACCTATTCCCATCATAAAACTCTTTTTATGTGTAAACGGATCGTGATTGTTTCACCACGAAAGTTTATTAAATTTCCATCTTGATCAATTAGACGTAGCGGTAAATGATCGATGACTTTGACAGTTACAGGCAAATATATGATCTGTTTCGGAACTTCAATGCTTTTATATCCTGGTGGTACAGCTGGAAAGAATTTTTATTGACATATGCTCCAGATGTTATGTTACATTCGACGCGTAGAGCGCTCACTTTGACAATGGCAACAGGGATGTCAGAGAAATTATTTATATCTACGGGCAACAACCGTTTGGTGAAACCTAACAAACGTCCAATAAAGTTATTTGATTGAAAATCGATTTGTTCATTACAAGTTATTTCACTGCATAAAGTATTGTTGTTGGGGTTTATTTCAAGTTTTATCCCTGTTGACTTCAAGTAACCTTTCAAATATTTATCTATGTCACCAATTTCATAACTGCCTGTTGGTAGTTCAATTTCAATATCA